AGGTCAGGATGGTGGCATTGTACACGGACGGGATGCTGTATTTCGCCTCCTCCCCGCCGTTCACAGTGTTGCACGCGGCCACAATCGCTCTGTTTTTCATATCGCGGGGCCCGGTGGATATTCGCAGAACTGTCGGCGTGCCCGTGCTGGACATGAATTTGTTGCCGGACACAGACACCGTGGAGTCACGGAGATTCACCTTTGATCTCAAAACGGCAAAAGCTTCCGATGGGGACACGCGGCAGAGGTTGCCGCTCAACTGCAGCCAGGAGTTGTAGTAGATAAGTAAACTGTATTTTGAGTGAAAAACAGCCGAGCTTCCCTGCATGTCGTTGCCCCGAAAAACGACCGCTGACAGAGACTCCACACGTAATGCCCAAAAAAATAAAATGAAGTGCTTCACCGACCTCGACACAAAGTTGCCTCGGATCACCACAGCAGAGTTGTTCAGTACACTCAGCGACAAGGAATGGCTAGACCCTTCAAGATGTATCAGCGTGCTGTTACCGCCGGCCATATGAAACGCGTTGCCCACCACCGCAAACACGGAGTACCACGACACCCTTAGTGCGTATTCAACAACGTGTATGGCGCTTGACGACGCCGACACGGTCAGAAACACATTGCCACTGAGCACCACCGCGGAGTCGTTGGTGATCACCAGCTCATTCATCGCGACACACGACGGGCTGCCAAGTTCCAAACCCGACCGAGGGATCAGCCTCGTGACCGTGAAGCGGTTCCCGCTGATCGTGATGTTCGTGTGCGGTGGAAACCCACCCTCCGGGCTGAGCAACGCGTCACTAAACGTGTTTCCGGTGACGATGATGTTCAGCGACCTAACAGCGGCATGCGCGTTGCCCAACAGCAACAGAACGGCGCCGTCCCTCCACGTGCATCCATCGAACCTGACATTCACCACGCCGCCCGTCATCGCCCCAATCAGCACCGTCAGGCTCATGCCGCCCCCGCTGAACGTCACGTTGCGGTAGCACAGCCACGACAGCCCGCCGCCCACTGCCTGCGCAACCTCGGGGTACACCATGTCGCTGATGCACTCACCAACCGGCGGCGTGGGCGGTGTGCGTGGCGGTGTGGGCGGCGGCAGTGACGGCGGCGGCCCAGCAGGCACAGGCGCCGGGACACACACATCGCCGTGCCCTCCAGCAGCGCACTGGCACTTGCAGTCAATGACCGCCGTCGTCAGCGGTGCAAAGCAGACGCCGTCCTTCGTGCACTCCCCGCACGCTGCAGCCGTCGTCACGTTGGTGATGCCGTGGAGCGCCAGTTCAGCCGCCGTCGTCACCACACGTCCCGCGACCGTCAGACACCCAGCAACGAACCGGTAGCCGGCGTCAGCCTGCGATAGCAGCGAGACCGACAACCCCGTCGAGCCCATCTTGCAGCCCGTCAGCGTCACAACACTGCTGCCGTCGATACTCATAAAAGCAAACTCAGTGTCTTGGAACATCGCACCCACTTCCACGTCGTTGTCGCGCCAATCCAGCCAGCTCGACTCCTGGACATTCCACAATTCTTCATTACGGATAACGTAGCACACAGAGCCTCTGTTCCCCACCATGCGCAACACGCTGTGATCCGACACGCTGAATCCGTAGTACTGGCACAAGAGGCTCGTCCCGGCGGACATCGTATTGTTGAGCAGCGCAAAAACAGAGCGGTCGCTGACACTCAGCCTGTGTATGTAAAACATGTGCGTGTATTTATCAAAGCTGCAGTACCGCGTGTACAGCGAGCTGCCACGCACCAGCTTCAGCAGCCCAGTCGAGTGCAAACCAAACCCGCGTTGCCTCGTTGCACGCGCCCTGACGTTGCTGACCAACAGCGAGGAAGCAGTCAACACAACTTTCCGCAACATCACTACGCTCAATTTGGTAATCCTAGTGTCCCGCAGCTGAACCTCAAAGGCCTGCACCGCATCAATCCCCGTGACGGCGATGTCGCAGTGCTGCGGGAGAGCAAGTAAAAAAGCAACGACAGAGGACCGCATCACCGTCTGGCTCACGCGGATCAGGACGCCGGCTGACTCGGCCGCCCCAGCACCCCCAACAAACTGCAGCGCGGCTCCGTCAAGGAACGTGCACCCAGTGAACGCGATGTTGATGGGGAGATGCAGCGGCATACTGTTGAGAAAGAATGTCAGCACAGCACCCACGCCGCTGAATGTCACGCCCACGTAGCAGTGGTGCGTCTTCCACATGTTCAGCGTGAGGTTCGTCAGCGTCTGGTTCACCACGCAGCTCGTGTCGCCGTCGACGGCTCTCTCCGCCACGGGCGGCACAACCGTGTCAGGCACCTCGAAGGGAAGACACGACGCGCCATGCCATCCGTCCTTGCAGCTGCACGAGCACGAGCTGTGGTCCACCGACTCCGTCCCGGGCATGTAGCACGCCGCGTCGTCGTTGCATGTGCCACACCTGAACACAACCACGTCCTCCGGAAACACGCCGTCGTACGACACCTCCCTACCGTCCTTCAGGTTGCACCCCACCACAAAGTGCGCGGGTGATGACACAACCGTGTTTGACAGAGCCTGCCCAGAAAAGAAGGCGCTTCCCTCTACCTGACGGTTGTGTGCAAGCGCCACGGCGGTGCCGCTGTCTGACAGCTGAATTTTGTGCCAGGGACCCGATATACTTAGTATTGAGGCGGCACTTACGTTGTTGCCCGTCACACGCCACTGTGCACCACCCTGGAGCGTCACCGAGCCGTCCAAATACACCAGCGTGGGATCAAACATCCCCGCGTCGCCAACAAAGGTGCAGTCCGCCACTCGCAGCAGCCCCGCGGAGCTCACGGTCGTATCCCCAAAAAAATAAACGCCATTGGCCGCGCTCATCGTGTTGTTCTCCACGTCAAAGTAGCCGCCTTTCTTCAAATTCACGGAGCGAAAATAAAGGGCGGACCGCGTGCCGTAAGCAACATCCATTGTCCTCAGCGTATTTCCCCTCACAATGATCCCACCACCATCAACGACAGCAGCATTGGCGAAATAAACTGCGTACCGATTCCCCTCGATGCGGTTGTCAAGTAGCAGCAGCGTCGAGTTCGCACCGAGAGCAAAGTCCAAAAAGGCAATGGCGTGGCTCCACTTCGACACAAGCGTGCTGCCAACCACCAGTATTTGGGAGCTCGCTCCAAAATTACCTTCAAACTCCAAAGCACCCCAATCCAATACCGAGGATGTTACGCTCACGTGCACGCGTGCACCACTCCCCTTGATCGAAAGGTCCATGAGGACGCACTGCAGCAGCGTGATGTTGAGTGTCTGTTCTGGCGCATCGAATCTCCACAGTTCCAGCACGATCGCGGCGGTGAAGGTCACGCTGACGAAGCACAGACCACGCACACCGGGATCAGGATCGTCCACGGAGCTGATGCTGCCACCGTGCACGCAGCGGACCTCCGTGTCCCTCGCATCGGGGAGCGGGAACGGTCCAAGGCCGTCCGGAACCGCTGCTGGCAGGCACGTGTCACCGTAGCCGCCAGCAGCGCACACGCACCGGCAGCCGTTCATGCTGCTCGTCCTCGTAGCGAAGCACACGGCGTCCATGGTGCAAGCGCCACAGTCCAACACCGTCACGGGCGTCCCAATATTGAGGTAGACTCCGTAATCCGTCACAGGAGAGCCCCTTGCCTCGTTGCACACGCCGTAGATGGTAGGGCGCGAGTCGGATGGCAGTGACCAGCTGCTTGTCATACTTACAATGGTTGACGAGTACGAGCCGTACGTGATGTTGTTGTACAGTATCGACCACACACTCCGATCGCAAAACGCCACGCCGTTCTCGTGGACAACGTACACAACGTAGGCGGTGCGGAACTCGTTGTCGCGGTGCAACAGCCAGCTGCCACCAGTCACGGTCAGCGTGGCTGCCACAAGCACGGCGAAGCCGAGACGGAAAGTGCTGGACACCATCTGCAGCACGCTGCCGCCATCCACCGCAACGTCCCCAAACACACACGCGCCTTCGTAGACGCCAATGCTCGGCGCACTCCACGAGCTGTTCTGTATGGAGAACACGGAGCCGCCGGCAACGCGCAGGTCCGACGCAAGAGCGTACATCACGTGCGTCCGCGACATGACAGCGCAGTTGTCCATGTAGAAAACGCTGGACAGGTTCACGCCAAGGCCGCGCTCCACGAGGATCGCAGCGCACGAGCCCCCGCCGCACACCAGCGTCGACCGCGTCATGACAAACCGCGTTGACAGAAGCCGGACGCCGTCCAGGACAAGCGCGGGGCCGTACCGGGATCCCGCGTGGCCAGGAGTCGCCGGCACGTAATGCGACCCGCCAACCGTCGCGCGCAGCGTTGAGTTCGCCAGCAGCACACGCGAGTGCAGCGGCATCGCGCCATGCAGCACAATCGTGCCCTCCAGCGACGTCACGTTCGTCATGTTGACGAGGGCGTGCGGCATCAGGTAAGCCGTGCTCTCGCTGAGGCCGCCAATCCGCAGCTGCGCACCGCCCACAAGCACGCAGCGGCGCAGCGTCACGTTCAGCGCGTCAGCAAACAAGTCCATCGAGCGCAAGTCCATCGCCACAGTGATCGGCCCGCTGAACACCACCGAGTCGAAGCACGCCGTCGCACGCCCACCGCCAACCGTCACCGACTCCGTCAGCGTCACTCCACTCACGCAGCCCTCCGCGCCATCGCCACCGCCGCCGGCCCTCGCAACCGGCAC